GCTCTACGCTCGAAATTGTCATGACTACTAATACAGCGGACTCCGAACAAGACGTACTCATCGGTATCACCGAAAAAAGATGAAAAAATGGGGAAAACGTGATCAGAGCTCTTCTCTACACTGCACAGAGACCATAACCAAAATAGAGGCCATACGCTCTTGGTCTTCACACATTCCAGAATTGATATGTCATTATTGCCATTGACAGCGTTGTAATTTGACATCACCTAAAGTTTAAGGCGGACTGCATCGGAGCTGTGTCTGTAGATTTGTGTGAATTATCTCTCGGCTCACCGTCCCTCAACCCCGATTAGGCCTTGCTGAGCCTTCGTCCGTCATGTCACAAACATCAGTTGGGCTCTACGATCATTCATCAAGCACAAAGACAATAAAGGTGACCGGCTGCAATTATACACACTTCTTACGGCCTAACTTTGTCCAACTAATGAAGCATCTCCTGATTTAGTTGGATATCCTATGCTTGTCTAAAAGTGAAATGGCCGCAGATGAAATTGCAGCCAAACTTAAGCATCCTTCCCTAAATCGCTAATATCTTTTGATCCTGCAATGCTGCCACATGTGTTTGTATGCAATGGTCTGGAGTCAAAACCATATTCGAGGTTAACCAAGCCTCTTCTTCTTGCTCTAAAGCACTTCTCGGTACCGCTCTCTTTCTCTCTCTACAATCCAATCTAACAGCCTCAAGTAGTTTCCACTTTTAAGGAAAATACCTCGTTTGGATTCCTCTGTCATGGTAGCCATCACCCAACTTTTCTACATACCCCCATAGTAATGCTGATGCCTAAGCAATGTTCTCGATTGTTTTACTACTCAGTTGTGCCATTCTTTCGCGGCCTAGTTGACTAATGGCATGACTTCAAGAATGCTCCGTCAATCGACTATTTGAACGACTTTCTCCTCGTCAACTCGAATGAAGAATGTAGAGAACGCCAACGGCCTGCTTACCTGACCTAATTACTGTCTGAAGTTTCCTCCTGAAATCTCGAATGTTCGCTGCACTCAGATACTTTACTACTCACATAATGACCGGAAATCCAAATAACCAACTGTCTGAATAAATGGTCATCTTATGGCCTTTAAGCCTATTTACATGACCGTTAAGCTCTGTATTTGCCTAACAGGTAGACTGTATAACTTTCTATCTGTCCTTGGCTGTGAATGTTTGTATTTAATGCAAAATGCTGGCATAGGCTTTATGGTTTAGTATTTTTCCATTCGCTTTATCTCATTTCATATAGGTTTTTTTTAGCTTATTCCCCTATCATGATGCTTCTCACAAGTGCGATCTAGGCCTGGCTACTGATCCTATTACTTTTGGCCGATCACCATTTTTTGTTTATGAATCTTCCTCCAATACTATACATATACATATATATATATATATATGCATGTATGTATTTATATTTGTATTTGTGTATCCATATATGCATGCATTTATGTGTGTATGCTTGCATGTATGCATACATGTATATGTGCTTATGTATGCATGCTTGCTTGTCTTTCATCAAAGCAGCTTCAAGAGTATTCAAATGTTTGTACAGACGCAAGCCGACACAAATATGCACTAGGTCTCGGGACTTCTATTAGGGCTTTATTGTATAGGTCCACTGGGGCGATTAACTCATACCAACATGAACTCTTATGCATTGTATTTGTGTTCACATGTACTTATGCCATCTTGAGTGTGTATGTACTTGTGCTCAAGCCGAGGCCATTTGCGCTTGAGATACCGAATATTAGCCTTCTCCTACCTTTGAAGCGCACCAGCCTACTGGCAATATCCCCCTCCAACCAAACAGGTGACCAGTCTGAGCTAAGTTTAGGATCGTCAACGGATTGATGAGTATCCAGTTGTATCTATTCTCATCTTTGTGAGTGGGAGACTGTTGGAGCGACTATAAATTGGCCGAAATTTCTGTAAACTACTCACAACAGCCAAGCTTCCTGTGATATACAAGCGTGAGGCATCCGACAAACAGGTAAGCAGAATTACAGCCCAACAGACCCTTCCAGAAGTGAACTAAGACTGCTTTGAAAGGATCTCCAAAAAGGTGACAGTAAACGAAAGCAGAAATAGAACAAAGAAGTCGGCATTTCATCGTTACATCTTAAGCATGCAAAAAGGCCATTTCGCGTCAGATGCTGGTTGCAAAGCAACCGGCCTCGCAAAGCGTCAGCCATCACATGCCATACCTTCCGCAAGCCTGGCTTTTTGCCTTTCCCGCAACTCCGTTTCCAGCCTTCTCTGTTCAGCCCCTTCGGTCTCCCCTTCGACCTTTGCTTCAACAGGCTTCTCTTGCATCTGGGACAATTTTATCCCCACTTTGGCCGCTTCTTGCTCGACTTCACTTCGTAGACGTCGAGCCACGAATTATCTGCAACACGGTTTCGGTGGGCTACTCTCGCAATTGGGCATTTTAATGACAACTTTGCTGCTATTCGGAATTGTCGCCGTCCATGCAGATGATGGAGAGACGGGATGGAGCGGCGCTTCTTCGTCCGGTTTCGTGATTGCGCCCTCTTCATCGCTGAGCCCATTTACAGGCCCAACTGCGGCTCCAGACTCGTACAGGCCGCAAGACACAATTGAGCCTTCTACATCTTACTTGAGACCTTTTGCTACAGGCAGATATTCACACTATGCCTCTATGACAACCAACAATGACCAGCATCAAGTGTCCCATAGATCAGATGGTCCAATGCAATACTCGCGTGTTGTAAGGAAATGGTGTGGAAACGAATTGGTATCAGTGCTAAGGGAAGTCTGCAAAATGCGAGGCTTTTACTCACCGGACAACTATCTTCGCCAGAAGCGTGGTAAGCCCATGATTTATGCCAAATTAACCAAAAATATTGCAATTCCTTTTAAATTTATGAAGAGGGTAAATTGTACCAAAAACTTGTGAACTCTGTTCATATGGAAATGGATTGACCTGGTTGTCGCCCTTGTTGTCAAGGCGACTTAGGACCTGGTCCGAAGTCCTCTATCATAGCAGTTTGTGTAATTCCCAGCATCAGATCGTGGACTTGGTACATTCTCAAACGTTTCACCGGCATTGTAGTCGGTCGTAGAGGTCAACCCACTTCTATAAATCGAAAGGAGACTACAACCATACCGGGGCCACACCATTTTGGTCTTCATATCTTCCATGT